CCAGTGGGGACATAATTACTGATTATAATGACTTATACTGTCTTTTTACACGTTGCGTTGCGTATCGCGCCGTGTAAACATAAAACCATGTCTGCATTTGTGATCGGAGAAACAACAAACTACAAGCCTACACTACACTGCTCAAAACTCGCATTTGAATCATCAGTGGCAAATGATTAAATATAAAAAAAACATACTTGCATGCTGAGAGTTAGAAGCGCCAGACTGTCCTTGCAAAGTTGGAACTGCCCCACTTTATAGAAACAGCCTTTGTGCCACAGACGCATTAGGCTACTGGTTCAGGAAACAATCCTCATCCTCCATAAAATGCGCTGCACACATCTGAATATTTGGGTTGAACTATTCTGGAACAGTGTTGTAAATACAACTTAACCACTGATTTCTAGTTGTGTCCTCTTTTGGAAGACCAAACTAAGTAGTTTCGCTTTCACAACGAAACACACAGCGCCTTCACGACATGGCAGCAGCTGCAACAGCGAGAATAAAAGTTACGCCTTCTTTCTTTGCTGAACATTTGGGCGGTGTTATGCAGATCTTCCCATATTGTGATGTAGATATGTGGGAGCGTGTTAAAATGAGGCGTTTTAGGTAGGCTTGGTTGACTCTTAACTTTTATAAAGAATATCTCTTTGGATTTGAGACTTTAGTCTTTGCAACTTTACAGATCTTCTTTATGCACCAAGAGCTTGTAACACTCCAAAGAGAAAGGAAAAATTGAAAGCGCATCATATGACCCCTTTAAAATGTGATTTTCTATTTTAATATATTATATTTCAAATAGAAATTTAGCAGTCATAACTCCGGAATCATTCTAATATGCTGATTTGGCACTCAAGAAACATTTATTTTATCAATCCTGAAAATGCGGCTTAATATTTTTGTGGAAACTGTGATGTATTTTCAGGATTCTTTGATTAATAGAAAGTTCAGCATTTTTTGAAAATTTAAAAATGTCTTTTACTGTCACTTTTGATCAATTAAATTGATCAAAGTGATCAATTGTTGATCAATTGATCAATCAAATTGCTGAATAAAAATAATTTCTTTCAAAAACAAAAATCTTACTGACCCCAAACTTTTGAACGGAGTGCATAATACAATGACAAAAGAGAACATTTAAATGCATCTCAGCATGAAAAGGTAAACACGTTTTACATCATATTTACTCAAAATTCACAAAAAAAAAAAAAGTTTTTCTTTTGACAAGGCTGTCAGTTATGGAGCCCATTTCCGCCACTGAATTAAAAAAAAAAAAAAAAAAAGGGTAATTGCGACCTCACAATTCTGACTTTTTTTTCTCAGAAAAATAACTGATTATGTTCTCAGAATTGCGAGTTTATATCTCACAATTCTGACTAGCTCGCAATTGTATGTTTATATCTTACAATTCTGAGACAAAAAGTCAGAATTGTGAGTTTGTATCACAATTCTGAGAAAAAAAGTTGCTAGATGTTCATTTGTAATTGCGAGAAAAAAGTCAGAATTGTGAGATTGTGTCGCAATGACCTTTTTTTATTTATTAAGTGTCGGAAACGGGCATCCATATTCAGTAGATATGAACTTGCATAAAAGGGATGACAAATATGTCAGTATTATTTCTTGTCAATTGATTAATTGAGAGCTATTGGCTGATGTCAGTGATCTCAGAATGGTCAAACGTGCTAATGTCACTAACCTTCATTGTAATATGTAATTGTCTGAGATTAATACACATGTATAAAATGTTGATTTAATAATGTAGATTTCTCTGTCACTCTCTCTTCCTGCATAGCTGGTGTTTGACATGCTTGTGCTCCAGAAGCACAACACTGAGATGACCGTAGCAGCTGGAGAAGCGCTCTATACACTAGTGTGCCTTCACCAGGTACGTTTTATGCTTACAATATGAATTTGAACTGAACGACATGCATGATCTTGTGATGCATTAGCGGTCGATGTGGTGTTTGATAAGTGATGGTGTTTGTCTCAGGCGGAGTATTCAGAGCTGGTGGAGACGCTGCTCTCCAATCAGAGGGACGCTGTGATCTACCAGCGGCTGGCAGACGCGTTTAACAGCCTCACTGCCAGCAGCACGCCTCCAACCATGGACCGCAAGCAGAAGGTGGCCTTCCTGAAGAGCCTGGAGGAGTTTGTTGCCAATGTGGGGGGGCTTCTGTGTGTCAAATAAGCCACTTCCTCCAGCAACTGTCCACAACAGCTTCTCCTCTCCACCCCTCTACCACTCAGAGAAGCCTTTCACCATGCCAAACCATGGAGATGCTGAGACGCCTCTGGGCATTCAGACAGAGAGCAGAGAGAGGCTGGCGAAGGCCGTGAGGGGACGGCCGGTCGTGATCGTCTCAGTCTGATCTGACCATTGTTTACTTTGCCACTGAGAGCTCCTCAGATGAACGTTTATGAAATGCAGAGGGGTAATCTTTCTGAAAACTGACCCCTTCCTTCCCCTTTTAGACACAAACACACAAGTCTTTTGCAGACGCTTCTCCTCGAGTGCCTTTGTATGTGGTTTCTCGCAGCTTGGATCCAGCTGTGTCTACAGCGACAAATAGAACCGTGTCGTACTGCTATCACGGTAACTAGGATTGTGAGCTGTGGTTGCCTTGATAACGAAAAAGCCTTTCCCAATGAAACTTTAATTGCAGGAAGGCCCTTTTGGAAAACCAAATCACTTTTGTGTTCAAGGTTGTATATATATTTTCAAAAAAGTGTTTAAAAGGACTGAAAGGTTTTTATAAGATTATAGTTGATGGAACTTTCTGATTATTATTTTTTTTATTGTTATACAACTTCACCAGGAGGACAAGGGGCTAGTTTGAATTTTTCTTTCTGATTGATTTGAATGATTGTAGTTTTACTGTTTGCCATTGTCATTTCGCCCTGATCGCAGCAGTATCACTGAAAGCGTTCTCGACAAAAATACAGGTCTGTTGAATTATGATGGACATTATTCACACAATCGTTTGATGTTCCCAGAGGTTTTGTTTTTCAAAAATAACTTAAAACAGTGTTCCACTTACACTAGCACGCACACACAAACTCAGAATTGTGGAACAGTCGACGTTGCTGTAGCAATAAAATACCAAAAATGATGATCCGAGGGATGTCAGCTGTTTTATTCGGGGCATTTGATAAGTCTTTATTTCCATTGTTCAAAGCACTAATTGTTATTTTGGAATGCCTGAAATGATCTGTAAAGTGTATATAAACTTGCTATAAAAAGTGAGTGGTCTTTCTTGGTCTATATTTTCAATATGATGTCTGTCTTAATTAAATATCTGGTCTGGAAATATGCGCGTGTTCGCGTTAGTACTTAGTGCGATTGTACTCGCTCGGCCACCGTACTGCAAACACGTGTGAAGCTGTTCTGTTCCTCTGTTGGACGTTTGTAAGTTACTGCTTAAATACACTGTAACGGCGTCGTTCATTGGTTAGGTAAGTGTAAGACTGGTTAAAACGTAAGTTACGTTTGTATTAAGTATGTTTTGCGACCGTTAGCATCATGTTTGAATGAGCGTTTAACGCGGAATGTTTACGCGTTCCCTAGAGTCACTTTGTTATGAAGATCTGTTATCATGAGTGACAGCGACGATGATGTGCCTCAACTCTCCGCCGCGACTCTCGCAGCGCTGCAAGAGTTTTACGCCGAGAGTGGAAGGACGGGACTGGAACAAAACTCCAAGACCGACAAGTTCTGCGTTGGTGCTGTAGAGGAAGACTGGGTACAGTACATGCATTAGAAGTGTCTTGCGTGGTGATTTGTTGACTATTTGTTATACACAAGTAGGCTATGTATCAGATCAGTAACCAGCTCGTGTGTTCGTGTGATCAGCGCATGAGTCAGTTCTGGTACAGTGAAGACACGGCTATACGGTTAGCAGAGGAAGTCATGCAGCAGGCTGGAGAACATGGGAGGTTGGTCTCTAGCGCCTTTAGCCAGATTTTACATTTGTGCAATTGTTTTGGCTTGTGTTGAACAGAAGGTCAGTAGTGATGGTTGTTCACTACCGTTGATTCGTTTAATTGCCTTTACCAGAGGTCAATACACCACCAGTAGGAGGCGACAACTGTGTGTGTGTGTGTGTGTGTGTGTGTGATTTTATTGTGCTGTGAGCGAAAACATTCACTCAACCAATTCATTAAAACACGTCGATCGTAGGCATGGAAAAACTCATTTATATGTAATTAACATTTACATGTAATTGTTCTTATATCTCATTGAGTGGGGAAATACTACTTATTTCATTCTTTTTGAGAAAAAAAAAACTTACCGACCCCAGTATAAATTACTGCTCCATTATATTGGAGCTTGACCTACAGGAGTCGCACAAGTGTTTTTTTGGATTCAAAACACCAAATTTAACTAAAGTGTGACTAGTTGTGCATCACTGATTGTGCTGTATATTGGTTAACTAAATGACAAAACATTTAAAATGTTAAATGTACTTCTATATACATATATTACCATTTAAAAGTTTGTGTTTTTTATGATTTTAAAAGAAGTGTCTTACAAATATTTTGACAATTTGAAATAGCTGTTTTCTATTTGAGTATAATTTACAAATTTTTGTTGATTTCTTTGATGGCAAAGCAGAATTTTCAGCAGTCATTACTCCAGTCTTTAGTGTCACGTGATCCTTCAGAAATCATCATAATGTGCTGATTTGGTGCTCAGGAAACATTTATCATCAATGTTGAAAACAGCTGTGCAAACCATGATACATTCTTGATGAACATAACATTCAAAAGAACGGCATTTATTTAAAATGGTAAAGACTTTTACATCGTTACAAAAAATTTCTCTCACTTTTTATCCATTTAATATATCCTTTCTGAATAAGTTTTCATTCTTTTTGAAAAAAATATTACTTTTTGAAAAAAAATATTACTGACCCCAATATATATTACTGCTCCGTTCTGTCCCCTCTCACTCCAATGTTTTTTTCTTGATTTGTAGGGTAGCTTGTATAAGTGCACCAAGTGTGTATCAGAAGCTGAAACAGTTGGAATCCACAAGGTCAGACAGTGTGTCTGCTGTTTTGCTGGAGTTTGACCGACGTTTCGCAGCATATGGAGATGAGTTTGTCTTTTATGATTACAACAACCCTCTGTGCCTGCCTGAGGGTCTGCTTCCTCAGAGCTTTGACATTGTCATCACAGACCCTCCGTATCTGTCTGAAGAGTGTCTCAGCAAGGTGCTCCTCACCATTAAATACCTCACTAAGGGTAAAATCCTGCTCTGCACAGGCAAGTGGAAATGTGTATATATATATATATATATATATATATATATATATAATGTTGCAGATTTTTTTAGAAGAACTCGTGTTTTATGTCTTGTTCATGTTCACCTTTGGCTTATTCTTATAGGAGCTATTATGGAGGAGCTTGCTGGGAAACTTGCGGATTTGAAGATATGCAGTTTTTTACCAAAACACAATCACAATCTGGCCAATGAGTTCCGCTGCTATGTTAACTATGAATCAAGCCTTCTCTCATGAAAAAGGCTTTCAATCTGACAACATTTGAACATTGTTTTTTCCTATTAAACATCAGCAGATGATTATTTGGAACAATAAATACTCTCACTCCAAGAGGTGCATAGCAGGATCCAGATATTACAGCGGAGGATTTGGCCCTTCATCAGAGATCTGCGATCAGTCTTTGATTATACTTTGGCTGACTTGCATTGTCAATTGCACACCCGGCTTTCCGGCATAAAATTGAAGCAAACAATCTCAGACAGTTTAACTTTGTTTCAATGCATAAAATGGGCTTGAAGTGAATGTTTGAAATGCATTTGTATATAATATACTATACACTAGACTTGTGCGATATCAGTGTTCTTGTTGTTTTAATAAAGTAATCATAGGAGGACTGACCCAAAGTCATGCTAAATATATGTCTTCTTGTAAATGATATCCTTATTTGCCTTTAACAGAAGCATTTCTAGTGTTTTTCTGTATACTTGAATACATCTGAACGGTATTTGGTTATCTAACACCATGATGCTTACTGGCTTTCTCAAAGTACTTTGGATTAGAAAATGTTTGTATTTTGGCACATCAAGTTTTCCTTTTGCTTGGCACTGCAGACTAGAATCTGCAGCTGTGAGAGCAAGTTCTGTCTCAAGTTTTCCTTTCACCAACTAAAAGAAAAAATGAAGGAAATAAGAAAACTGACACAGAAAAAGAAAATCTAAAATGGATCAGTTCAGTCCATTCGTTCTAAAGGTGCTGGAATTTTTAGACGATACTTTTCCCGCTTGGCTTGCCCTTCTGTGTTTTTCTGTCTTTTTCCAACAATGGCACAAAAGTACAACCCACGGCGATGGACACGTAGCTCTCCGTATAGGAATGACGGCCCCCGACGCACGAGCCGGTCCGGCGCAATATGACGGTCGGCATGAACACGAGTGCTGCGGAGGCGCTCACTTTCCTCCCCGTTCGGTCCGCTCAGGCATCCCTTACACAATCAGTACGCCTCCGGGAGATAGCGAGGGTACCTCGCTGGATCATGGGCGATTCTTGGATGATGAATAATGAAAAAAAGTTATTTTTTCTTGCAGACAAATAGGCGAGACATCAAATCTTATAGGATTGGAGTCGGGAACACACAATCCAACTGGTTCTTCTATCCACCTTTTTCTTGTCGTAAAAATGGGCGCGGCCATTTGTAAATTCTATGGGACTGGCTTCCGGTCTCATCTGCGTCCACTCCGTCCAGCTATTTTTAGCTGAACAAAACAGTTCGTTTTGCTGCTTTACATTGAAAGTTGGTGCGTCTTATATTATTTTAATGCATTATCTTAATTATGAACACACTGGTTTGTAGTGCAAACAGTTTTACCGTTTACTGCAAGTTGTTATTCTCCTCATTATTTACCTATAGCGGCTAATGAACCGGAAGTCTCACCCATAGGCTTACTTCCGCGTTGAAGAAAAAGGTGGATAGAACTGAATCATTTTCATGACCGAAACAAAATCGATTCCCGATTGAATGATTCTTAATCAAAACACGTGTGAATCGGGCGTTACGGTTATTGAATTAATCTGATTTTACCGAACCGTATGTTATTAGACTTCTTTAGCCATCTTTGACTCGAAATAACACAAAAAAAATTGTGGTAGCCGATATATTAAAGTCTTCTGATTTTTTTTGGTAGTTTTGACGTTATTGATTTAACGTACACACGAGTAGCCTATATTTTTATGATATGTTGTTGTTAACGTATGAATTATTAACATTTTTGTTTGTATTTTTAGGGTACAATTGCTGCATTGCATTCATGCCGCCTAGTCCAAAAAATCTTTCTAAATATTCCTTCCTCATAAGCACTAAATGGTTAACCTACTTGCTTAGTATTCCCATCCTAGTGGTCTTAGTTTTGGGGTCCTACCTGTACGGCCGGGGCGAGAGGCTGAGGAAGTTGACAGAGGTACGCGGTTTGTCGCGCGCTAGGCGAGACGCTGATTGACAGCTCAGATTCTGTCGCTCTGGAGGCGCGAGCTGCAGGGTGTGATGAAACGCGCTGAGAACCCCGACCAAGAGCCTCCCGAACATCTGCTCCAAAATCTCCTCCGGTAAGTCCAGACAGGAGCGAGTCCTCGGTGCTCTCCTGGACACCTTAAGTCCCCGTTCACCAGGCGCGCTGCCGCAACACCACAGCAACACCAACACAAGCGTCGACGCAAACCGACCGAGCATTTCCGATTACACCGTCTAAACGCGCTTTACTGCCAGGAAGGGATCGCTGGAAAAGATGATAAAGTAAATCTCTGGAGAGCTCTTTAACCGACCTACAGAAGCAACATCAGTTGTTGCATAAAGCAGCTCATCCGCCCGTCCCGTAAATGCGCTCATGATACTTGACTCCAGATATTGGGCGGACTGTTTGATACTTAATAATACTCATGCTCTGCTTGAGCTGATGTGAAAAATTCACTTTTATGATTTCCCCCCCCTCGAATGTTCTGTATTCCTTTAAGATATTTAAGAGATTGAATCATTAGATACCAAAGAAAAGTCTATACTGTACTTTAATAATTGACACTTACATCTTTACCATCATTGTATGCAGATAGTACAAAAGTTGATGCATTTACAATGCACAAAATGAATGAAATAAATAATTTGGAATAAACTGTATTATCCCTAAATGTATTATGTATTATTACAAAATATAGTAAAGCATAATGAAATGAGATATAAGATGCCTGGAAAATAATTCGTATTTTAGGACTACTAAAAATACAGTACTAAAAAATACAGATAAATTTAGTGTCTTGACATATATCAGATATTCCACTTAATTGATATCCATTGCACACATCACTCAGGCAGCAAGTCATCTCCCAGCTCTTCATCAGCAAACTCATCTTCCTCAGTGCGTTTTCTTGCTGCAGTTTTCGGTCTCTGCATTTGAGGCCCCAAAGGATCGACATACGAAGCATCTAAAATGATGAATGCAATGGAAGCAATGTATTTTAATAAGCACAGACCAGGGCAGAAGCTTGCTTTCCTTCACATGAAAGAGAAAACTATTAAAGCTATTAAATAAACCAGCCAGAAAAAAGGTAAGATGATTACAGAAATGTAATAATAATTTTATCATCATACATTTAACACTTAACAGTGGGTTTTATCCAAGCAACTTATATTGAACTCAAAGTGGACAACTGATCAGTTCACACATTCCCTGAGGATTGAACCTTGGTATTGCTAGTGGCATGCCCTACTGTTTGTGTACTGAAAACATCAGTATTCTACCACAAATTTAATCTACTAGATTGTTTATCAGTCACAAATGATGATTGATGTTATTTCTTACCTATTTCCTGCTGAGTGCTGGCCTCATACGGCTCATTGGACCCTGGAAGAGTTTTCAGTTTAACGCTAAGCCTCTTACCCTTGGCGCTGGTGCCATGGTTGCTCTGTCCACTGTCTGAGAAAACACATCCAAAAGAGCCAGCGTTGAACTTGAAAACATCTCTGGAGTGAGAGTTATTTTACAGTAGTGTCTGGTCAGATTCTACAAAAGAGAAAAAAAGGAAAATGCATTCGCATTTGACTTGCCACCATCAACAATGTAAGCCATGCTTAGACGCTACAACAAAACAAATGTTAGCGAATGCTGATAAACAAAACAAAAAGCATGACAAACAACGGTTCCAGCTTGCACTTGAAGCAACGTCTATGTGACACTAGAATCCTAATTAAAGTGAGTTCACTCTGCAACCATATGACTTGCATTATGGAAAGCATTTGTGTTGCATAAAGACAACGGCACACAGCTGCATTTCACATCCTGGCTGTGACGACAAGAACAGAGAGCCGAGGGGCAGATGTGAGACCGGAGTTTCGCAGGCAGGTAATTTATATTTAACCGTCCCAACGACAAAACACAAAGGCATTAAAATGAAAAACGTATTGCTGACATACAGTAGTTTATCCTATCATGTACATCTGACTGAGGAATCAAGCCAGAATCAAAATAGATATTTATCACATATAAAACTAAAAGCTAAATAAACACTGCCTCTGAATACTTCTATTGTTCGTATTCATAAAAACATCTTTAATGTTATATCAGTTTATGCATCCAAATGGCCAAGTAACAGTAACGAGAGTACAGCGAGATCAAGCGCTCTGATACTGGGATACTGTTCAGGAGTGTACTTGTGAAATATTTCACTGGTTTATTTGCACTCAGTGCTTTGCAAACAGAAAGAAGGTGCTGGAAACACTCTATCAGATGGTGAGAGCGGGATATTCCCTGGAAACAGTGGTTTTGGCAGATAGGGCTTTCACAGTTTGCTCTATTGTGCTGTGACTGAATTTATGTCCTTGGACGCTGTATCATTACAGGGAACTACAGGCATTAAAAACAACATTTTGACATATGGACTGGGCAATGGGTTTGAAGTTTTCCATGAAGCTTGCAGCTATGATTTTTTGTGTTTAATCATCTAGAGCAGGGTTCCTCAAATCTTGCCCTGGAGGGCCAATGCGGGTTTAGCTCCAACCCTAATCAAACTCACCTACCTGTGATTTTCTAATGACCCTGAAGACATTGATTAGCATGCTCAGGTGTGTTTGATTAGGGTTAGAGCTAAACTGTGCAGGAAAGTGGATCCCTGATCTAGAGGATTGATCATCTAAACGGCACAGTGTAATACAGTACATACCTCTGCCCTGCTCCAGCACAGGACTATACTTAGCTTCTGAGCGAGAAACTGCAGAGAAAAGAAAGGAAAGAGAAGAAGACAGAACTCTGAAGAGACAGTGGAAAGGCTAGACAGAGAGCCGAGAGCTGAGGCTTTCAAATTAGGTTGTGCTATACAAAAATGAAGATTGTTTGTGAATAAAGTGGTAAACAGTATTATGTGTTGTTGAGTTTAGTTATGACTGCCGGGCAGAATGTGAGGAATGAATGGCATCCGTAACAAAGCTGACTAATGGGTGCAGTAGCAGCAGTGTTTTCTTGAGCAGAATGCAATGGCATGCTTGTTTTATAGTTGCACAGGAGGAGTGTGTGAGCTCTTCCTCTAATGTATTTCTGTAGTGTGTGTAGTCATACCACTGGCTCTCAGAGGAGGGGTATTGATGGGGCTTGAGCTGCTCCCTTTCAGGTGCACAGCCATGAACAGAATAATAGAGTTTAAAGAGAATAACAGATT